AGTACCCCACCTGGTTGGACCGAGTAGCTCCTCGTGACCGGCTCGGTTACACTCGATACACGGTCACTGAAACAAACATAGACGGTACCTTTCATGACGAATCGGGCTGACAAAACATCTCCTTGCACACCACTCGGCCGGTGTGCAAAACGCCGCCATCTCCGACCCGGACCCTAAGGAAGTCACACTGTGTGTGACCCGCCGCTGGCGTCATCAAACTCTAAGTCCATGCTTACTTTTCTTCAGAGTAAGGTTTGGCGAAGGGAGGCGGTCACTGTCGGTCAGCAGATACTTTTTCAGGTTGCGGACGCTCACACTAATTACCCCCAGTCAAAAAGGAAAATTGGTGTCGGGCGGCTGCAACTCTGGTTCAGAAAAGTGAACCTGATTTGTAGCCGCCCGATTAGTAGTCCTTCTAGCTAGTCATCAACACCACATAGGCACACCACCTGTGCACCCGACACTTCGGTCCACCACCTCATCCAAGGATGAGTGGCTCTCCCGGATTCCTGTCCGTCAGTCTCCCTTATGGTCGGCTCCCTGTTAACTCATACTCTCCGTTCTGTAGAATCTCTTCATTCCCTGTCTGGGAAGGTGGGCGCGCGCCGCCGTCATTGGCTTTCTTCCCCCGTCCAGATGATTGAGCGCACAACAATCGACACAACAACAGCGACAATGGAGGATGCAACCATGGCCGACCCACAAGCAATTACGGGGGAGGAACCTAACATACGACACCAAGAAGATGACGAGCAGATGCAGAGCGAAGATACTTCAAAAGAAAAAGATGACAAGAAAGCAGAAAGATTAAAGACGGATGATACGGCACAATACTACCCAAGAGAACATGACGTCTCCGAGCTATCCGTCCAGGAACGGAATGATCTGTCTGCCATGCAATTACGCTTCTGCTTTTCCGATGCGAATTTTCGTCCCGTTTGGACGGATCTTTCCAAGGCTGGTTGGGTCTATGATTCGGGCCGACGGCGCTATCGGCCACCGGATGTTTCGCGTGAAAATGCCAACAAAGATGAAAGTTTGCTATTAACGGCCAGGGAAGTGGCGGAGCATTTGGATTATGGTGCTCTGCAAGATGTCACTGCGAGCACCAGTGATGTGCAGCAATCATCAAAACAACAAAATACGGCAATGATTCCTCGATTGGCACTGGGACAAGAAGAACGGTGGAGACGTCTCAGGGATGATGCTTGCTATCATTTGTTTCTATCCAATCTCCAAATGCTCAAGGAGAAAAAGGACGAGGAGAAAGACGAGGAAGAAAACACAGAAAATGGGGACAAACAAACTGCCACTACGAGTAAGTCCAAAAAGAAAAACACCAAGAACAACCCAAAGCTAGCCAGCAATCAAAGCAAACCACGTTCTAGTGGAAGGCGTACTAGATCTGTCACGGAAGCAGATCGCGGTGCCGGACAATATTTGAACAAGGCCAATATTCAAGCCAAACAAGCACGGATCAAAGCAAAGCAAGCCAACGCGACAACAACAACAACAATCAATGATGAAAATCAGCCTCCAAAATTTGAACGGCTTTCCCTCCAAGAATGCATTAGAAAGATGGAAGAATACAACAACAATGAGAAGGAGGATGACATTGTTACACAGGCAGAAGAATCCTGCAGGGAACAATTCGCAGAATGGCAATTCCTACTGGCCACCAACCACTCCTTGGTCGTCTATGGGTTTGGTTCCAAACGAGCGCTATTAACGGAGTTTGCCGAATCACATTTACGAAAGGAGGGATACGTCCTGGCATTGGATGGCTTTGATCCAGAAATCACCACACAAGGTATTTTGAGCCTTTTGGTAAATGTCTTTTTGGATGGGCTCGAACCATCCGCTGCTCAGAAGAGTCTTCCAGGAATGCAAAACGAGGAATCCATGGAAGTGACCAAGACCCTCAGAGACCCCGTCACTGGCACTGTCAGGCACGTTACGCGACGAAAGATTCGAGATCCACTGGACCGGGCACATGCCATTGCTCTCGCCATTGCGGCCAAGGGCTCTCTTCTTATTTACTTGCTAGTACACAACTTGGAAGGGCTCAAGACGCGTCTGGCACAACAGGTTTTGTCCACATTGGTTTGCCCTTCGATTCGTCTCGTGGCCAGCTTTGATCATGTCGATACTCCCGCGCTCTTGTGGAATACGCAAACGTCGGCACAGTATCGGTTCATTTGGAAACAAGTACACACCTATCGTCCATACAGCCGGGAACTCTTGCTGCTGGCACCGGACGAAATCCAAAGCTCTAGCAGCACCAGTGGAGGAAACAACAACAAGCGACGCACTGCCGGGGCTGGCGGCCGAACCCGCCGCAACCTCTTGATCACGGACGGGCAAGCAGCCGATCGGGTCATGGAGGTACTGCGGAACTTGGCCACGCGGTACACGGAAGTCATGCACAACCTGGCCAATCTACAACTGGATGCGCAGGGTGGGACCAAGATCGTCTGGGTGGATGCCGCTCAGCTCTTGCAAAAGTGTTTGAACACTTGTACGGTCAAGTCCGATGCGCAACTACGCACCTTTTTGGATGAGCTGGACGATCATGAACTAGTGGTGGTGCAAAAGCAAGGCTCCACCTCCGTCATGGTCCGAATTCCTTATGCGGATGAGAAGTTGTATGAGATTCTAGCCTATAAGCCAAATCAGAGCTAGATAGCATCCTGATGCTTGCAATATTACATGCACAGATTGAGAGCCAAGTGTCAAATCATATGTTCATGTTGCTATTATTTGTTACATGGTATGTTCAATTCGGGAGCCATCGGAGATTGAAGGAAACGGTGCTAGCTGAGTCCCAGGAAGCGACCTTCCGCATCTGCTTCTTTTCTGAATCGCTAGGTTGGTGTGGTCTGCGTTGGACAGCGACTGTGAATTCCTCATCCTCAAAGTCCAAAAGCTCTGGAAATCTCGGCATCATCCTTGGCATTGTGTCGCTGAACCTTCGCCTTGGAATTCGTGGTGGGCAGCTTCCGCTTCGTTTTTCCGTTCTGTTATGCTCCAAGGGTGAGGGACAGCAATTGTTGTCCCATCGCGATGAAGCTGCGTCGGAAGATGACAGCGTACTTGAGGTCGAATCACAGGAGCTTGATACCTCCTTGTTTCCCTCAAGAGTAGCATTGTCATCTACAATAAAGACATCCGTAAGGGGTAGTGCATTGTTTGCCAAAAGTGTTGTGTAGATGAAGTGATCTAGAGGGGAAGCCATTGTCGCTTGGTGAGTTGCTAGATGAATGAAAGAAGGGAACTGAACACAATAATTGTGAGAAGTGTTTGTGAGGACTGGACTGGGAGGAGAAATTCGCTTTTAGGTTCTTGCGATTGCCTTTTCGCGGGAAAATGTTATTTACGATTTACAATGACCAACCCTTCCGAAATTGGATCGCATTACGGTACCAGTAATGAATCCAAGGCAGAATAAATGTAGGACAGACATCTAACAAGGAGAGAAGGCACTGCTCCTCCATTGGCTCATCAGAAGTTCAGAAATCCCATAAAAAGGCTTCCGACTTCCGTCGACTTACGGTGAGGATTTCAAGGATTTCCACTCTCCTTTACTCAGTGTACTGTACTCCCTCTCCAGAGCCTTTCTATCAAAAGAATCCCCGATCAATCGCAAGTGGCTTCAGCAAAACTCCCCACTGCATACAGAATCTACGCAACGAATCGTAAACTGGTCCATTCCCGGGCAGCGCCACCGTTAATACTCGCAGATTGCATACGAGTAGCTGAGCTGGCTTTACATGACATGCTAAGCAATCTAGACTTATTAGCTATGCTGTGCATCGTGCATCTCACGTGGGGTGTTTGCCTTCCAGAATGTCTATGGCCCCCAACCACAACACCCAACAACAAAGAAGCCCAGATAACCAGAGACGAACGGATCTGGTTTTGTATAAATAATATTTGCTCCCAACTTGTTGCTACTGAGAGTAGCTCTTGTAGCCATTAACCCACTCGAGTACCATCCAACTTCTACTCTGCTCTTTAGTGAGGAAGCTGTATGGATACCCGAGTTACGTAAGCATCTTGGAACTGAACGGCGACTGAAATAAATGAAATGGTTTGCAGGCCCCTCTCCTCTCTTACCAATACTCGAGGCCCCTCGGCTTTGGCCCTTTTGGCCCTTAATATATTATTATAGTGCTCATCAGACCGCGCCGCGAGAGCCTCCTTCATGCAAGGATTCCTGAATGGTACTAACAGTAGAGACTACCCGAGTACGCAGAGTAGATAGTAGATATGTGATCGCTGTTGCGACTGCTGTAGCCAGGAACAGTACTGAACCTTCTTGATTCTTGATTATTCACAGCTGTATTCACGCCTGCTACCCTGGCTCATGGCTCCACGGTCAAAGATCAGTCAAACAAGGCCTGTTTTCGTTGGCCAGTCGGAGAATCTGTGCGCAGGAGCCGCGACACGGGCAGCTCGTGCTGTTTCACCAACGTCAGTCTTGGTGTTTTTGTGCGGGCTATGTGCGTGGCGGTGGTGTGACCTCGCTACCACGACAAACATCGTCTGCACCCTATTGACCTCACCAGCTGCCTGTTGCGGCTAGGCGACAAACCGAGGCTTTTGTCTGCTCAAAACACTGAGTTACACCAGACGGCTCTATGATTAGCTAGCTACTAGGTGAAGTTTTGGCAATTTGGTGGCCATTTATTCTCTCGTGCTAGCATTTTTCTATTGATCAGCCAGTACGAAGAAACCAGTGGAACTCTCAGCTTGGCCAACTTTGAGGCTCTTGAGAGGATACGTACTTGGGCAGCTGACTTTGAGGATGTTTGAGCAACTGAGTCAAAAAAAGGCTCTCGCCTTTTACGGTTTCCTTGAGGATGCCCAAGAACTCACTCGCCATCGCACTCATGGCCTCATGATGTTTGTCATGAATCATGCATCATGCAGTGGCTTGACTGCTTAAGTCTTGTCTAGCATTGTCAAGACCACAGAAAGGTTCTCCACGGCGATCCCAATAGACTGTCGTACCTGTTGCAAATTGCCATTGGCCTGCAATATTTTGGTCGATTCTTCCTTTTCAAAGTTATTGAGAGCCGAGTAATCGCCGCCCGCTGTATAGCTATAGCTGTCAGCCCGACTGAGGGCTTGCTGAATGGTCTCTGATGCCTGCACAAATGGATCGAGGTCATCTGGATCATCAATCAAGTCCAAGGCCAATCTCAACTTTTTATCCAATCCAACCAGTGGTCCAATGCCCGTCCGACCCAGATAGTCCCGTATCTTTTTATTGGATGTTTTGCAAGTGACGACTGCCACGCTCTTATCAAACAAGGCAAATGTGCTTGCCTTTTCCAACAGCTCTTCCTTATTCTTGGTTTCGAGTAACTCTCGGGGAACGTCGGCGTAGTTACAATCAACCACGGACTCCTCCCAGTTGTCTAGCAAGGCTTGAAGAGCCTTGGTGGCCAACCGAATGGGGGCAATGACGGAATCTCTTGTGGCGCTTGTGCTTGTTGTTGTGTCGGCCGATGCTGCTTCTGGGAGTACTGGTACAGGTATTATACATGCCGTAGCAACTATCACCTTGATCCAGTCTCTTCTGGTGGCAGGATTTGACGGTTTCTTCACTGGTTGTGTGTGTTGGTTCCACCCATGCGACAGCGAAAAGAAATGGCAAAGTGCCGGGATCACGAGAAGGGGAAGAGGTCGTCTCATTGTTAACTCTACTGTATTTCGTGTGATGGAACTGTATAAAGGCCTTGTGGCTATTTTTCCTTTCCAATAATACCGGTTCTGTAAAGGTATCTACTGGTATAGGGGTTGCCGCTTGTGTGTTGCTTCGGTGGCTGCCATGGTCGGTGGGTGGTGGGGTCTCTTTCGCCGTCGGCAAAGATCTGTCTTTCTCAATCTCACTGAGTGACTCAGTCAGTCACGAAAGTGACAGACTTCACGAAATTTTCGGATCGAATCGAATCGAATCAATCGAATCCCCAAAAGCACATCTGGGCCTTCCAAATAAAGCAACAGTTGCATGTCCGTCAGCCCATCATGCAGCGAACACCCGTCACTTCACACAGGAACATCCCATATCCCATCACCCACAACTTCTTTTTTAAAAGGTCACTCACTCCTCTCCCCATGGTCATCACCTCTTGCCTTGGCAAGTGGTTGAGTTAAGAGTAGCTCTTTTTATAAGAATCTTGTTTCAGGAATAGGCAAGCTCGCTATCAGATCCGCTGTGGATATCAATCAAAGCAGGATATTATCAGCTTTCATCGGATCTTCTCGTTACAGTATACTGGACAAGAAGACACAGTATAGGTCATGATGGACACAACCACACTACTGTTTCCATCGGAGGATGTTCCTCCAAGACCACCGCCTGATTTGGTTCTTCCATTCGGCCCCCGGACATTTCTCGCCTTGGTTGGATCCTTTGTGCTGGTGTTCGAGGTCCTTTACAGTACTGGCCAAAAAGCCGGGGAACAAGACCGTGGCAACAATAATGATGCCATCAGCAAGAAGGAAGGTGATCAGAACCAGCTGCAAGGCAATATCTACCGACGAATCTTGTTGTCGTCAGAGGAATGGAGAATGATTGGATGGACCATCTATGCAGTGTCACACTTGATACCCTCGGATAACATGGATGATGCTTTTGTGACCGCCAAGATCACAATGATTTCCAATGTGACGGCATTTGCCAGTGCTCTTGTCTTGGGGTGGATGCTCTGTACAACAAGAGCTAACACTGGTAGCACCACTGTACTTCAATACTGGGGTTCTCAACCAAACAACAACGAGCACAACAACGCCCCATTTCTACTCGTATTGGCCGCCAATTCCATGTTGCTGACCATCGTGGGTGGTCCAGGCAACCAGCTGCTGCTCCTGTGCCGGGTCATGGGAATGCTTGCCATTATGGCGTCACTCAAAATTCTTGGAAACATTCGGAAACTAGGAGATTCCTGGGAACGTTTTGCTCGACCCAATCCATGTAAGTGCTGTTTCGAAACAATTTTTGGGGCGAGGCTATCTAAGCTCATTCCTTTTGCTCACCCGTGGCTCTTGAATGCTACCGCATATTTATTATGTTATATAGTGGTCTACCACGCCGGTGGCCCCATGCTCATTCTGGGGTGGTTCCTCTTTCTCATTGGGACCACCGCTGTCACGGGAGACAGTTTCCGACAGTTTTTACTATCATCATCATCACTTGTCCAGTATATTCCAATCTACTTGACACTACGATTGCAGTTACTCCTCGCTGCGGGACTGGGAATGGTCCCCATTGTCATGCTTCTAGATGAAGGTCCCGAGTTGACATCCATGGTCTCGGATGGAATGGTCGATTCCATGGATGGGTCCATGAGGATGCCATATTTTTCGTGATATGATATTTGGAACATCATGATTGGCAAAAAAAAGACAGACACAAAACACAAGGCGAAGGAGCAACACGACGCTGTACCTCTTGTTTGCTAGCTAGAGCGGAACCAATTTTGGGTTGCTCGCTAGCTGGGGGGGGTTCGAGGCCGCTTTCGCAAGCACCGATTATCTCGGCATCGTACAGTACACACAGTCGGTGGTGCTGCCCTGTAGCTAGCTATCTGTGGAAACAAGGGCGGGATTCGACCACTGTTACTTTGACTGCTGTCGGCGAATTGATAGAATTTGAATACCAGCCCAGCTCGACTGCGGCCAAGTACTGTTGCTTTTCTTTCGGACTCTCTTAGTCATGCAACAACACCTATACATGTAACTAACTGGATGTGCTTCTTTGGATCACCAAAACTACTCGCTCTGGCTAGCTAGCTGGCTGCCGCTAACTAGCTCAGCTTCCGAGGACAGCACACGGGTACATCGTAGTGGTACAGTACAGTAAAGGTATCCACCAGTACGCATCGCGGCTTGGATAGAGCTAAATAAATGATCGAAAAAGCCAGAAATTAAATGTAGAAGAGTAAGTTCACAAGAGTCGAGTCCCACTCCTGTCTCAATTCAGACTGTTTCTGTTTCTCCGAAAGCAGCGAGCACCATGCTCGTCCGTCAGAAGTCAGAACACAAAATGAGTGTTGACGACGAGCTGGAGAACATGAACTGCACCGATGCTGCTGGTCGTGGCATTAGCAGTGGACGTGATCGAAGGGATGGTCATGCTTATCTAAATGATGGTGGGAACATTATTGGGGAAGAATCCAATCTCGTGCAGGGAACTGTTGTAGACGGAAGCAGACGACCGCCACCTGTTCCGTCAAACTCGCAATACCTGCATTTGGCGCAATCAACTCTACCACCACCAATGCACTCCTTGACTACAGAAGAAATAAGTGAGGGTCAAAAGCTTTTTGGTGGTCTAGTGGAGCTCATAGAGCTCATAGAAAACCAACGGCAGCCAAACACTCTCGACAACACGGAAAATGGAAGCATTACAACGCTCAGCTTTCCTGGAGCTCACCCGGTGGTCGGATTGAGAAGCAGTAATGATGACTCTGGAAGCATCAATCGCGACGCTACCATAGGAGAGCACTCCGTTCATGTTGTTCGAGAAGATGTCATTGAGGCTTCAGTCTCGGCCAGTGACTACGTTCATTGGAAGTCAACATGGCTTTCTTTGCTGTAATAGTGGTACTACTCATACTCTTGGCAGTCTCAGAGAATACTGGAAGCGACAGCGGCAACAACCGCGACAACAAAAGCCAATCGCTAAACCAACAAAATGGAGCAGTCCAAATTCCCGCAACTGCAGAGTTGAGAATATCCATAACGCCGGCGCCAACAACAAGTTTTCTCGGCTCACTCAGTCTACCCGACAACACACTTTTGGCTATGGAAAAGTCAAGATCTCCCCAGTCCAAAGCCTATAACTGGCTGATCAGCAACAGCGTCAACAATCAAGTGCTGCCCTGAACAATCTACCAAAGTGGAGACTGATACAGAGGTTCGCTCTGGCCACATTCTACTATTCTACAAGAGGGGGCAATTGGGTGAATCATCATGGTTGGTTGGACTGGGCGACCAGTGAATGCACTTGGGAACAACTACCAGTATTTTTGACCCAAGGGGAATCTCCACCGCCGCCCTGTAATGAAAAAGGTGAAATCCAGGCAATGTCATTTTGGTTATCCAATAACATGGGGGGAACAATCCCACCTGAGATATCTTTGCTGCGGGAAAGTTTTGAGTCTTTAATTTTGACTCGGCAATTGCAACTCAAAGGGGCCATCCCAACCGAGGTTGGAATGCTGACCAAATTGACTGAGTTGAGGTTGCTGACGACAAACATTCTTGGAACAATCCCAACAGAGCTCGGTCTGCTGCAAAGTCTTGGCATGCTCTGGATCACTGATTGCCACCTTTCTGGGCGCATACCTTCAGAGGTTGGCATTTTGGGCAGTCTATCTACATTGGTGCTGTCAATGCCAGATCTAACGGGTATGTCTCCATGGTTTTGAACGGTCTCACTCATTGACAAAAATTGACACTTTCTGCACTCCCTCCAACCTAGGTTCAGTGCCTAGTGAACTTTTCCAATTATCTGGACTGGAATGTGTATTGATTGATCGATGCTATGGCTTGAATATGGAATACGTCCTTCAAGATGCCATCTGGAAAATGCAACAGCTGGAGGACCTGACCCTGCGAAGCCGGATTTTGGGGAATAAGATTTCAATTCCAAGTAAGAACTTAGACAAAGGCTCTAGAGTGGTTGAAACAATGACAAAAGCCTCACTCTTCTGGTGCATGCTCTGTCGAAGCTGAAATTGGAACAATGATAGAACTGACATCCCTACGAGTGGTGGACTGGAATCTTCACAGCACTATTCCAAACCAAGTTGGAAAATTGGAGAAGTTGGTGAGCAACCAAAGTATGTTATGAAATCGTGCTAATAATCTTTTGAGGTTGCCTGACCAGTAGCTAGACTTCTCTTAGTTTGCATGGCAATGCAGTCTCAGGAACTGTGCCGCCAGCCTTGTTGGAGTTGACCAGTGAGTATGATGTATATTCTGCTTCACCGCACACTTTTCTTATTAACTCATGCCTTCCCGTTCCAATAATTTTCCTTTCTTTGCCTTTCCATCAGATCTGGTCCATCTTGATCTGGGCTACAACCAATTGGAAGGAACACTGTCACCTGATTTCTTCTCTCAACTCACAAAGTTGGAGGTCCTTGTCATCAATGGCAACCATTTCTCAGGTTCAATCCCAACAGAAGTAGGCCGACTGTCTAGTCTCTGGAAACTAGAATTACAGAATACCAGCGTTTCTGGCACACTTCCTACGGAGCTACTTCTACTGAAGGGGTTGGCCAGCTTGGTAGTCACAAACACATCCTTGTCAGGTAGCATCCCTGAAAGCCTGTGGGACAAAATGTACCAGAAGGAAATCAAATGCTATGGCCATCCACCATGTAAAAGTTTGTCAGTGAAAACCAACAAAACAGTCTGCCATGGCACTTCTTTGTGTGGGTGTGATTGTGGTCCTTGCCAAACTAACTAGCTGGCTAACATAAAAATTGTGTCAGCAAAGTGCCCATCCCAGCTGCCTGTTTTCATTGTCTCTTGTGTCGCCCTGTCAAGTTTGGTCCGTGCTATGAGGCTTTTACAAATCGTTTTTGGTTTCCCCAGTCAGTCTTTTACTTTGAGGGTTCCGACGCTCGAACACTTCGGTAACTTGTGTCTGAGCAGTTTACGTTTTTCAGTCGTGGTAGTCGAATGATCGCAGTGATCATCGCGAAGTTCAGCTTCGCAGCTGGTACCGGTACCACCGTGACCAGCAAAGGATCTCCTTGTCTGGCTCATTTATTTCATCATTCCACCCAACAGGAAAGGAACCAAACACAGAGAAGCCACCATGACCTCCCCTCACGCCAGTAGCATCGATACCACCGATTTGCAGTTTCAAGTCGACAAGGCATTCGCTCCCGACAAGGAATCTCATTGGAAGTATCCCAAAGACCACGATGGTTGGGTCCACGCTCACAATACCATCCGCGGTGATTTGCAGACAGCCGAAGACTGCTTTCAAGCTATTCAAGGACGAAAGCGAGCAGAGGATCCTTCTTCAATGACACTGAAAGCGTGGGAAGTTGATTGCCTCCAGACAGTCTTTGATGCGCACTACGAGTTTGTAAAAATGCACCACGAAAACGAGGACCACATTATTACGCCCTGGTTGAACACCCGCATCAATTTACCTGCCAAACTCACAGACGACCACGAAGACATCGTGGGCGCAATGAAGAGCCTACAATCAAAGATCCGTGGTCTCAAACCAGGTGACGAGCGACAAGCCTCGATGGAAACTTTGTTGGCCGAATGGAAACCTTACGCTACCAACATGCGCGAGCATTTGCAGGAAGAAGAAGACATTGGACTTCCACTGATGCGGGCTTACTTCTTGCCAAAGGAATATAGCAAGGTTATCCAAAAGCTAGTGCGTGGAGAATCCAAGCTAATGACAGGATGCTTTGTTCATCGCATGGGCGAAGAGCGCTGCCGAAACGAGTTTATGAAGGAGCAAGGCATCCCCTTCTTTGTTTGGTACCTTGTCTTTTCTGGGAGCATCAAGTTGTATGAATCCACGGTGGGGGCGGCTATTGAAGCACTTCAGTCTGGCGTGGAACCACCACCACCCAAGAGAGGTCTGCTCGGTTGTTGAAATGTTGCGCCTAGCATTGTCCCGTGCACATCCAGAAAGACGCGAGTTACCGCGTGGGCGGCAAGCATAAGTGAGATTAAAACCTTTGTCGTCAGCCATTCCGACTCTCTGCTTCGGTGATCGATGCTCCTCGCTTTCTTCCCCTCTCTCGAGTTGAGTGGGGTACCAAGGATATCCTGATTGATGGCTGCGAACTTGTACTGCCGTGTCATTGCAAAGTCCAGTTGACTGTCATCATCTCACTACAGAACAAAATTTAAAAACTGGTATTAACCTAGGTTTTTACTCCCCTGGTTCAAGTACCGGAGAGGGCGCTGGAGCAGGTGCAACAGCTTCTTCTTCTGGTACTGCTGCCGGTGGTGATGCACCATTACCCGCTCGTGGTGGTGAAAATGTATTGGACTTTGAAGATGCTTCTCCCAGTGGTTCTAACTTCATCAAGTCGGACATTTGCAACTGTTGGGATGGACCAATCATACTGGAAGCAAAGGATCGTTTTGATGACGTGATTGTAGCACTACTGGATCGTCGAATAGCGTCCTTACGAATATTTTGGGATTCGATCGATGACTTGGTAGAATCTCGCACCAAGCGTTCTAGCTTGGGAATTTGTGGTGGTGCTTCTAATTCCGCAGAGGCTGCTTTTGCATTGGCTTGTTCCTTGACCCACAAGGCAGGCGGTTGCAGATCCGTGCGCTGTGTCAAAGTGGGAGAATAGCCAAAGACGACAAAGTCGTGCTGGTACATTTCATACGTCAAATCCAATGTTTCTTGGTCAAAGTATTCAAACCATTTCTTGGTGGTTTTTCGTGCATTGGTATGGGGCATTCCCAGGAGCGCATCTCTCACAGGGTCCGGTAAATCAGAGACAGTATTATCTTGCTGTACTGCTTTGGGTGTATCTTCTTTGGTTTTGAGGAATTTGAGTTCTTCTTGTTTGACGATTGACTGCACCAATTGTTTGCCTTGATAATGTGTATATTCAAATTGGGGGATTCCGTGGCATGGAGTATACCACTCATCCATTTCACCCCTTTCTCGATAATGGCGTGTCGTGTAGTGATACCAACTCTTGACAAAATGTGGAAAGGATTCCATTGATCCAAATTTGTTGTAGCTGTACATGGATACCATGCGAGAGTATGGGTTTCGGACAATGGCCATGGTACAGACATTTTCCATTTCTTCGGGGGTAACATACCCATATCCCAACAATTTGGCCGCAGTCAAATGCATCATGTACCCTGCGCGGTTGGTACCGGTACACCAATCAATGGATTCCATGAATCGACACAAAATGTAATGCACAAAGACCAAATAACACCGTCTCACTTTGTCAAAGCGACCAATGGTGGGTGCCGTAAAGACAAAACTAAAGCACATGAACACAATAAAGGCCAGAATGGCCAAAATGATGCTCAGGATCCACAATCCATATCTTTTTTCTTCTTGTGTAGCCGAAGCTGCCAGGGACAAACCCAAAATGATAATGGCCAAGCCATTGCCGTAGGTGAAAATGGGAAAATTGGCACTCTCCAGCAACTTGTAACGATGAAAGAAGACCCCCATGCCAAATTTGCCCCAACAAGATCGACCTTCCATGACCTTGATGGGCACATCAAAGTGATGCATCAATGAAGTACCCCCACATCGTGGCACATGCACAAAAAAGAGCTTTTCTTCCAACGTTGGCTTGTCTTTGACTAACCAAGGCATTGTATGACAATGACTGTGGCGATACTGTAGATGGCGGCCTGATGGGCTCGGTGAGCTGCCCTTGCTAGCTAGTCTAGGCTCGTAGATGAAACTGTAGTGTGAATATCCCACCTGGATCCAAAGGGATACAGCAGACAACAATAATAATTGTTGCTGAGGAGAGAGCAGGAACACAAGAGGCAAGAGACAACGAAGGGGTCTCTCTTGTAATAATGGATTAGGAGTGTGGCCACTACTGCAGAAGCTCAATCTTGTTTCGGCGTTGTGGCGGGGTTCAAAAAATATCTTGACTTGACCGGGTCGGTACATGTACATGTTTCATGTATGCTGGCTTTGAAAAAAAAGAGACGCAGTCTCTCTTTTATTTTATTAAAATACATCATGTGCGTGTTGTCATGGTATTACACCTGATCCCATATCCTCATTAAAGTTTCATCATTCAGCAAAGAGTGAATCTATTCTCCGATCCGAGCTCCTTCTTCTACCTGGTAGCCTTGTGCTGGCGGGTCAAGCCACGATACATGTGCCACTTCAATAGGTTTTTCGAAAAGGCCTGTTGACCTGGCATCTTGGCTTATCCAAAAAAGGTAATCAAGTCAGCACCAAGACATGCCTCATCAAGGCTGTGGCTGGCCCACTCCACTCCACTCGACAACTAAGTCAGCCACATACTCTCATCCTGAGATGAGTCGATTCGGTGCGTCCTCCGTACGGTGCCGGCACCGGTAGTACCGGTACGCGGTAACACTGAGGTTTCGAGAACCAGTTTGCAGCTCTCCTCATTACTTCCGATGTCATGCACTTGGAAGATGGCACTTGCTCGCCGCCAAACGAAGCAAAAAAGACAGTTACTCTTTGCAAGAATCGAATCGTACATGTACTCAGTGCTGTTCACTGTGGCACGCGCATGTCCCTCCACTACTCGGTTGTTCCGTGCCTTGGATCCAGCACGCACCAGCCTTGGGTTGACAGCACGGCAGGTGACAAAGAAACCTGTCTCTATGGTGCACCGGGAGCTAGCTGGCCACATTGTAGAGGTGTTACGGTACCTGGAGCTGTGGGGAATGGTGGATTGGTCGTTTTGGCTGTTTTGGCTGTTTTCGCGGCAGTTCCACCAGGACGCCGCGAGATAAACGCGAGAAAATCGCGGTTTCGAGTTTGATTGTATGCATGAAGAAGAGATCGGGATTGAAACCGCGAAAACCGCGAAACTCGCGGAAACTCGCGGAAAGGTGGCGTTTTTGTCACGGTTTTGTGTTTGCCGCGAATCGTGGCAAAACCACGAAATTCGCGGATTTTGGCAAAATCCACAATTCCCCACCGCTCCTGGGTACGACTGTACATGTATGTGTATGACCAATCACTGAAAAGTTTCGGGTGGAGCCTGCTTCTTCCGAGGTGATTGTGCGATGCTATCGTGCATAAGGCAAACCGGTAGCGAAGGCAACTGAGAGTTAGGAGAGAAGTCATTGTGTCGCAGGAAACAGAAAAGGGGATACCATTCCTTTTGACGAACTTGCGTTTGAGAAGCATTTTTAAAGCATTAAATATTGAGGTTCTTTTGGAATTGGCCTGGCGGCTGTTTGAGGCTTCCTCTTTGACTCTTCCTGTCTTTTCGGGGGATATCTATTGCCTCATCTGGCGGAAGTGAAGAAATGACGTTCAGCTCTTGTCCGAGTGGTACAGGAAGGCTTAACAAGTGATTTCGTTGATACGCAAGTAAGGCTAAGTAATCAGTTTGCTGTACCGTGGAATCTACGCAGGGGCAAAGTAAGTGGTGGCGAGCTGTGGCGTCACCCTTGAGGCCTCTCACGCTCAGTCAAACCAGAGACCATTCAACCGCTCTTGTCCGTGTCGGTCTCTTTTTGTCTCTTGACACTCTCACATCAATTTTTTCCTTTGTTTTTCTAGTGGTCCTTGTCATGATCAGTGTTTTCTCCGAGCCCATAGCCATGTCCAACACTAATAAAGAGGCAAAGAGTCCGCCATCACAGCTACAATGCGCTCGTAACCTGAGATCATCTTCGTTATGTCAGTATCCGCGATCGAATATAGAGTACCCGGGCAAGCACGGTAAGCCAACAGTAGTCACAAGATCGAACGCCGTCTGATCTTTCCTGGCCGCCCTCACCATCATCGCACTTTCTATATCTATCTATCTCGCGCACAACACATCTTGTCTATTCTACACATACTGTTGTTACGTTTAGACGTGGTGAGTCAAATCCGTCAGTGGAAAGCATCAAAGGATGGAGGTAGTGCGCAGGTCCTCCCTGTCGTGCTAACTTACTTGCCTTCGTTTGTGCGGACAGATGTTGGGGCGCGGAGGTGAATCAAACTATCATAGGTTCGTTAGTGTTCTATGCAGACTAAGTCGTCCCTGAAGCTTCGTTCTTGCTCTGAACCTTATTGTGACAACGTTATCCTCGCTCTCCACTTCAGTGGCAACCTGGCATTTCGGGAGTTCGTAAAGCAGTTCCGAGAAGAGTACCAGGCTGCTCCAAGGTATAAGAAACCAGAGATTGCAATGAAGGTTGTCCAGCATTGGAGGAATCTGAATCCACCAGGAAGGTTCCTGACTCGCACTAACCCGGACAATGCAGACAGCTTGTGGCATGATGTTGATGACAAACTGGCCACGAAGAGGGCGCTCAAGAATCTTGGAGAGTCTGATAGAAGGACGAGAAATCGCCGTGGTAGTAGCAACACACTCTCTCCTGAATCTCCTGAACGTACCGATCAGCCAAAGCAGAGCACTTCTGATGAGGCAAAACGAGGTTTTCCAGGTGGCAAGAAACCAACTCCGCCTGCGGTTGAATCATCCAACGCTGCGGCTGTTGCTTTTGTGGGAGGTGCTGGGGTGGGCGTCATGCACCAGCACGGTACCATTGGTGCAGCTACGCCGGCATCACAGCATCCGGTATCGCCTGTGAAGGTGTGGTCAGAGCAAGTATCGCCTGTGAAGGTGTGGTCCGATGCATGCGTCTCAGAGAGTTCTGGTAGTGATGGTTGTGGATCCAATCGGGATCAATCTCTAATCGCTGCATCAGCAGCCATACAGGGCAACAAGATCAACGTAAATATTCCAACCGCAGCAACCCTGACAGAGAGTGCCTTTTCAAGCAGTGGCAGTGACGAGGGAGCACGATCTGAATCTGGATCGTCCAGTCCGCATGAAGAACCCATAGCGGCGGGTCATAAAAGAAAGCCGCCTCCCAACTAGCTCTGCAGAGAAGAATTGCAAGATGACATGCACACACTACACGAAAAAGGAGGTTCAAACAAGTTGATCTAAAGATTGCAAGATGATATGCATGCACTACACGAATAAGGAGGTCCAAACAAGTTGATCTAATGGATACTACAAGGAAACTTCATTCAGATTCTTGTTCTGCTTAAGGACATTATCATTGCGGAGTAGAGAGACCATTTAGAGAAACCAAAGTGATATCGTATTGCAGTGTGGCATCGGGTGGGATCCCTCTCCTTGGCAATCCAGCACTCCCGTACGCCAACACGGGAGGAATGATGACTCGCCGTCGTTCTCCGACACATTGACCAGTTAGTCCGACATCCCATCCAGGCGGGAACTGTCCAAAGGGTTGTTTCCCTAGTACAAAATAGAGACTAACGTCGTCTCCTCGGCCAGGGATTGCCTTGCCATTGATCTTGAC